TTTTGGCTTGAGGTAGGGATTTTTCCTACACTTCTTTATGTACTTTTACTTAATTATATGGAGCTTAGAATTGTATATAATTTAATTAGAATTTTTGAAAAATTTGTGATTTATTTGCCTAAAAGAGAAATTTTGAGAAAAATAAAGAGTTGATGCCCAAATCGCGAAAGTGTAAACTTGGAATATGTTTGTAAGGTTATGAAAGAGCTATGTTTTAAATTTGAACAAAAATGGACTTCGATTTGATCGGTTTTGAAATTTTTACCGGTTTGCGACCTTGTGCTTGCTGAACCACTACTGGGGGAACAAACACAGGATTTGGTGGACAAACTTGTGCTTGTGGTCCTCTTGGTCCATAGGGTGGTACATTTGGGACTGGTTGTCCCTGTGGTACAGGTTGCTGTTGGGGGTGTGGGTAACCTCTTTGAGCCTGTCTTGTGAAGGGACCTACGAAAGGTGTTGGAACAGGTGTTGTATCCCTTCCATTTGTGGGAAAACCTTCCAACCCCCCGGGTATAAATTCGAATAAGGGATTATTGTACCCTCTAGTGCCAGGTATGGCTTCGAACGTGAGATTTGGAACCATTCTTATACCATTTTCTTGTACTGGGCCAGATCCACCAACTTGCATGGCTTCACTGTTGAACATTGAGGCATTTTGGCCTGCTATAGGCCTCAAAATGGGTTCGTACCAAGACTGAGGTGATAGTCTTTCATGACTCTGATTACTAGTTTGACCATTAGAATGTCCATTAACTTGCATAGGCTGTTTATCTCTAGCCAATCTTTGTTGAGGGACATTTACTTCCTCCATGTGTCTTGCATTTGTTGGTTGGTGATTATTTATTCGATCCAAAAAGGATGTTGCCCACCTTTCCATTGTGTTTATTAATTGCTGTCTCATGGCATCTACTAGGCCACCCCATGGATTCACTGGCTGAGTAGAAGGGACAGTAGATGGTCCAATTCCTTGGTCTTGTCCAAGATTACGAACAAATGGTATTTGCTCTGAAGTACTGGTCTGTTCGACCATAGGTTCCGATAAAATAAGAGTTTTCACAGGATGTGTTATCACATTATTTTCTGGATTAGGTATCTCTACCTCTCCTTCCACGCCTTCTTCCAAGCGTTCATTTTCTCCTTGTCTCCTACGTCTAGCCATTTTAAATGAGTCCCACCGGGCGTGCCAAAAATATATGTTGGCTTTTTGGCTTTCGAAGGTTATTTTTGTAATTGTGAGCGTGCCAGCAAGGATCAATCAGTCCTTACAGAATTTTAATTGCCAACCAATTATCAGACGATTGTGTTGTAGTTCTTTCAGCCTCAATGAAGAAGACTTTTATTGGTGGCTTGATTTAAGAAAATTTAAACACAAAAACAGTTAAATAAAGAGCAATTGAAGCATTTCATTAGTATGAAAAACTTACAATGATCCAAATCCAGCCTCGTAGAGGTTCACAGTGACAATTTATTTGAAACTATTCCTATGAATGAAGTACAGTGCAGGAATTTAAAGTACAGGAATGTAAAGAACAGGAAATATAAAAACTGGAAAGAAATATGTAAAGTAAGACTAGTTTGTTGGATCTGAGTCTGGGGCTTTTTTCTGGGGTCTTCCCTGCTATTTATACTCCTCAAAGATGACCATCGAACTGCACTTCAAACTGTCGAACTGCTCCTCCGTGATCACTGATCATGCTGCCTCACAAGTAGTTCCACTATGCCATCACTTGCAATTAAGCTTCCCTCTTATATTTGAATTTGAATGTGAGTAACTGCTAAAGCCACGTCACCTTGTATCTCTTTGTTGATCCAATGTTACTCGGACCACGCAATAGACAATATCAACTGTCACGTGTATGATCAAGATCGAAGACTTGAACAGTCTTCCTATATTACCCTTACTCTACCACGCGTCGAACTATAATTGGTCTTTTACAAAATATGTAACCAACAATTATGAATAATTATTTTTTTTTGATTTTTTTTGGTCCTTTTCATAGCACGTATACCTCATTTACCATTCATTTTAAAGTCGTGTCAATGTTTTCTTTATGTTAAAATTATCGTGCTTTGGTTTTTCTATTCTTGAATCCCTCTCAACTACATTAATATTCTATTATGAATCATTAGTTTTCCTATTTTTTATTTGTTTGTTTCAGATGATTAGTCAAGATGAATGAATTTGTGTAGATTTCGTTTTTATCTTTTAAGAATAGAGAAACAGATAGAAAAATCAAAATTGGACACAAAATGTCTATAGATAGATAAGTTTTCTATATGTGAGTCCCTCAAATAAATTTTGTTTTAAAATATTGTTTATTTATAAATATTTTATGTCTATTTTTATGATCAATTTAGGTTCATAGCATAACGCGAGAGGATAAGACATACTGACTATCTTTATTAAATAATTAAAAGATAAATAATAATCGACTTAATATATGTTATAATTTTTTATTTATTAAAAATATAACATAAATAGTTTCATGTGATAATTATGGAATATCCACTAATGATTAGAACAAATGTACCATTTTATGACATGTGGCATAAGAGCAAGGGCTGAATGTTCTCTCATCAGATGTAATGTTTGGATTCCAATTTTACAGTTGTGTGTGCAACTTTTCCTTCTCTAATTCTCTTGACCGTGGTATTAATCGTTTACAAAAATAAAATAAAATTATGATTAGATTTGATTACAACAACTCTTTAGATGATCAACTTTTAATTAGCAGAGACAAAGTAAGTAAATCAAGAAGCCAAGTTCTAAGGCAGACTGAAGGAGAAATCATCGCGACGAGCCTCGTGATCTCTAACTGCATTGTAATGATATTTGGGTATTGTTTCATGATGATCATGATCACTGGAAACAAGTGCAGAAGGAGGAGCTTCTTCTTCTTCTTCTTCTTCTTCAACCTCTGATATCTCAGTTTCAGAGTAGTAAGCTTTAGGAGGAGAGTTGACTATTATGCTTTCGGTATCTGGACTGGACTTCTTGTTTCTGAACTTGTGAAGCAAATGAATGGGTGATGAGCCACGGCTCGGAGTTGCATCCACACTGGTGAACCCAGATGATGATGCATCTGCTTCTGCTGCTTTATTCCTCAACTTCTTCCTCTCCCTTGCTGCCTTCTGCCATTTCTTTAGAGCTTTGGCTGTCTGTTCTTCAAAGATTGCTTTCTTCATGTGAGATCCCATCTGAAATTTAGCTGACATATTTGAGTGATCCATGATTGTAAATTATACTTTTTTATACAACTTTTTTTTTCCCTTCAAAATAATAGAAACCTAACAAATATTGAGTGCAACCTATGGTGTCACTAGTCAATAAAAAGATAAATGAAATCACGTGTGAACTCTCTTTTTCCGCCGCTAACCCAGAAATTAAGACGTAAGTTTGGAACACCATATAGTTGTAGTATGCTTGACCGATTGTGTTTCATGATTTTTCCAAATTATTAATATTATTTGGGGTCATGTAAGTATATAGTTCTCTGTTATTGGACGAGCACACCACTAACGCATATCACTACGGTAGTGTTTCAAAAAGACTAAGGCCCGTTTGGGGACTTAGTCTTTTAGTCAAAAAGTCAAAAAGTTATCATTTTAGTCAAAAAGTCAACAACTCATACCAAAAAGTCAAAGATTCTCTTTTCTCTTTACTTTTTGCACATCTTTTCGTATTTAGCCAAAAAGTCATCTCAAACATATAAGTTTTTTTTACCACCTTTTTAGTCAAATAGTTAAAAAATTACTAAATTAGTCTGTTCCCAAACGAGACCTAATAACCAAACCATGTGTCCTCTACTACGATAAATGTGAGATTTTTGTTGGTCATCTCGACATGTGGTATTATTTTTATATATAATATTACTTTTTGGGCCCACAATACAAAGTAAACTTTGACTATTTACTATTACTCGCAAATCTCTAGTATCAGTGAAAAACACTAGCAAGAGCAAAATCTAAAATCGAGTTTGGATTTGCTCAATTGGCCCATAACTGATTGGCTAGCCTCATGATTATTGATATATGGAACCGAATCTTCTGTCCCATTTCTTTTTTTTTATCCTTCTATATTAAATTACATCTCTATCACAAGATCGATATCTCTTACTATCTCCAATTTTGTGATAGGGGTAGAAGAGAGTAAGACAGAAAATCATCAACAACCTATCAATATCATTGTTGTTGGAGTTGAGTTATAGGACTACTCACTTGGGTGACCAAGGCATAGAGAGGGAAGGTGATGTAGCTACATAAAACTTGAAATGCTACTCCAAGTATAACCTTGGCTAAAATGACTGGCAAGTTTTCATGAAAGCATGATGTTATCCCAAACTCAAACTGCACTAACCATATCGTCATAGTATATATATTAGTCAGTATTTAAGCAGAATATTAATCAAATTTTTTGAGGAAATAAGCCAAAATTGCAGGTTTTTTTTTGTTTAATTACCCATGTCCACAGAAAGTAGGCCATCTGGAATGCATTCTGTAAAATTGAAAACATTAATCTTAATAATAGCTTGTAATACAAAGCTCCAAACTTTAAGGCAATATCTTTAGATAATTGCATTAGAAAACATATAAAATGAATTATGTTTGGTTTTTGTATTAGTAACACTGCTTAAAAACTTTTCAAGGCTTATGATGAATTACCTGGAACAAGGTAAAATGAATCAACAACAGAATCAATTCGGGTCGATTGAACCAAAAGTACTTGTTACTAGGCTCTACAACTGGAACTCCCTCCACAATGGTTGTTCTTTCTTGGATTTGCTGAGCCATTTCCATTATTATGATCTCAAGCTTTGTACCAACTAACAACAGTATCTGTAATTTTCATTGTTTGGGCTTTATTAAGTTATATATGCTTTCTAATTCTTTCATTTCTTTAATGTTATGAAAAACAAGTATAATTAAAGTGAAGAATAAATAAATAAATTCTTACTGCTGGTGGCAAGAATGATACCGCGAAAAGTGTATACCATCCTGCACAAGGAGAGAATTCAACATTCCATATGAGAGTTCAATTAAAAACCAAAAAATTTAAATAGTAATAATAATGCAAATATGAGAGAGAGAGAGAGAGAGAGAGAAGGCCTACTATAGACATTTAATAGCTGAAAGATGACTGCAAATATCCAAAGTGGTACACTGCCAAGTGTAACATCATGGTAATTAGTTAGTGCATGTAAGTTGTATAGAATGATGCCATATTTTGTGCTTCCTTCATTTATAATGAAAACATTTATCATTGTCATTATAATTTTACAAATGTAACTATTATAGTTCTTGTTATGAATTTTATATAAAAATATTATAACAATATAATTTTCCATATATAATTTTTGCCAAATAGAAGAGAGAGAAACCTGATACCAACAACCACTTTGAAATCATCTTCCATAGATCTTTTGATGTACTTGTGGAAGTCAAATTTGGTATTTGAAGCAAAATGAGCCTGCAGTTAAAAATGGATGAGGATACAATGAGTCTTTGAGCACAAATGGCCCAGATAGATGGGGATGGCCCAAGACAAAATTACGCATTGGGCCAGATTGGTTAGATTGGGCCCCCAACTTTAGTTCCATTGAACTAAATTATTATTATTATTATTGGATAAAAAGTGTGTAATTTGGAAATTTTACTTACGTTAATGAATCCGTGTCGCATAGTCAGATAGTCCACTTTTGTTACTGACGCAAAGAATTGCCCAAAGAAAGCCACCTGTAAATTTGCTTTATTTATTTTAGTCTCTGTTATTATAAAAATATAATAATTTATGTTATATGGAATTGCGATTACAAAATGAATAGTTCGTATCATTAAAACGGATCTCTAATATGCCTCCAGACCCATTAAATTTTCTCAAATTGAGATATGAATTTGAGAAAAACGCGACTCTAAAACAATGGGGCATGGAGTAGTAGTGGAACTTACAACCCATCTGAGACCAGGCATTGTGGAGAAGCCACTGTGCTGCCTAACAAAGGAAGTCTGATGAGCGAACCTGAACCTTGCAGGGTCTGTCCAAAATCAACATTCACGTAACTCAATTACACACTTTATTTTCTCTACACAATAATAAATAAATAAAAGTAAACTTGAAGGCTGATTGTAATTACCATTATTAAATTGATATTCCAATGAATTGGTTTCTTGCTCCCATGCTTTCCATTTCTTCACCTTTCAATAATACCCCCCCAAAAAATCAATAAATAATAAATCACATTAACCAAAAATCTTGAATCAGAAAAGTAGAAGCAGTGGAGTGGAGTGACATACTTTGGCCTGTGCTAGAGCCATGGTGATCACACTATACAGAACATGGAAAATGGCAAGCACAAATATGAAAATGTGCAATTGGTGCACCCCTGACTGAGATATCAACGACACTTTCCCCTGTTCATTCACAAACAATTGATGATCACAAAACAATCTTATTTGGCGAACTGTTTCCAAAATTGTTTTCAGGAAAAATTTCTTAAATGACCCATCTATAGGAAACATATGCACCAAAAAAAAAAAAAAAAAAAATGACGACTTTTGGCATACATATTGAGAGCAGTAGTCTTGACCAGCATTAGCACCACTAGCTGGAGCTAGAACTCGCCGCCGAATGGCAGTATCTCCGGCAAACAACTTTATTGATGCGTGAGAAAGCTTGTTGTTGGAGTTCTGCTGCTTACAAGGGAGCATGATATTTCCAGCTTTGGAAGGAATACATATCTTAGACACAAGGCTTGTACCTACTGTGATCAGTAGGGATATGAATCCTAGAAGCATCAATTCTTAGACACAAGGCTTGTACCTACTGTGATCAGTAGGGATATGAATCCTAGAAGCATCAATTCTGCACATTTTTAAATTTTTTTAAAATAATTTGATAATAAAAGACCATTTTTTTATTTCATTATTAATTCAAAAAGAATATGCAGTGTGCATAGAAAAACAATTATAGAAATGTAAGATGAAAAATTAATGTTGGCCCAAACTCAGTCAAGGTGTTACTGTTTTTTTTTTTTTTTTAAATTGTAATAGTTGAAAGAGATAAAGAGATGACATATCCATATGATGATTTTTCAAAAAATAAAAAATAAATATGAACGAAGTAACTATATGATCACATGTCACTGGATGAACGTACTAAAATTCTAAACTCACCTAATAATTTTTGAATTGCATCCCTTTAATAAAATTCTAGACTCACCTCTAATTTTTGAATTGCATCACTTACTTTAATAAATGAGAAAGATAGTCAACAAGTTGTGTATAATCAATAAATAGCTCCTCTAAACTTACTACTTGTAATTATCCGTGATATGAGGAATCCTTTTTGGCGTTCTGCTAACTTTATAAACTTCATCATATATATTTCAATATAATTGTGAAAGGAGGGGGGAGAGAGAGAGAGAGAGAGAGACCGGCTTTAATCTTCTCCAAAGCCTCAATCATGGCCTTCTTCTGGCCCTTCCGAAACCACTGTACCATTCAAGAAACCAAAGTTAATAGTTCAGAATTGAATTCTTTCCAAAATTCCATCCAACCATATATAAAAAGCTTGCAGAATCATTCAAATTTTACATAAAAATCTTAGTCAGTTTTACCTTTTCAAGAGAATGAATCCCATGTTCAATAAGAACAGAAATGATCACAAAAACTGCAGAAACAAGTGCAACCGCCCATGTTGGTGTCTCCTTCAGCGACCGATCTCCATTAGCCCCCGCTACCATGGCAGAACTTTGCTGCCAAAAACACAAAAAATGCTTCGCGAAACAAGTGCATGAACACTGTTTTTGGGGAGATTTATAACATATTGTATGTGTGTACATAAATGAAAATATGTAAGATGGGCCGGCTACTATAAAAAAACCAAGGAGAAAACTTGGTGAAGAAAGCATCAAAAGGGTATGCTGAAAGTGTTTTTAAAAACAAAAATTGACAATAGTATAGGTTAGGGAGAACCAAATGTCATGACACTACTACTCCTCCTATTGGCACCACCCTTCAATCATTGGATATATGTCTCATCCTCAAAACTATTCATGATCTTATGTTGACTGTTTCAATGATGATGTGATGAGTCCCTTGTAAACAGTCCATAGTACTTTTGAATGGTTCATTGCTTGTATTGTTCAATAAGCATTCCTACTCTTTGGGCTCCTTACTGCAAATGTGAGGTTGGCCACTAATCATATAATGGGGATGTTTGGTGTTGGTTTATTTTGGCTAACTAATAAATTTAGGAGGTATTTAGAATGATCTAAATAAATATATTTTTTAATTTTTTACGAAAAGATGTACAGAAAATTAGAGAGGTGATGTAACTCAAATAAGTGTACTTATATAGGTTATGCCAAACGCCCCCTTAGTTTTGAAAAAGCTATTTTGGACTGTTTGATTGAACTTATTTCAAACAGTTTTTTATTCTAGCAACTTATTTTAACTCAAAAAAATTGATTCGATAAGCTATCTACCCCTACTTCTGATTATCAGCTTTTATTGTGGACATCTTAATTTTTAAAAAATAAAAAAGATCCAAATGGACTATAAATTTTTTTTTTTTTTAATGGGAAATTTGGACTAGTCGTGAATAACAAAAAATAAAAGTTAATTCAAAAAGCTATTTCATAACTTATCTATCAAATACTACTCAACAATTTAAATCTATAATCCAGCAGCTCCGCCAAACAGATTAATATATAACATCTTATTAAAGCTATAATCTATAATATATTAAATTATAATCTATAATCTATTTTAACAGTTGTACCAAACACCCTTAATATATAAGTAAAGTAGAGTCTTCTCTTAGAAAACTTTAAAAATGTGCTTGGTATCATTGGAATTTTTAAAGAAGATTTGAAATCTCTCTTATCTTATTCTTTTACAGATCAATATGTAGTATATATATACAACAACCTAACCTCTGAAACTTAAGACTAACTATGATGAGTTAACACTAACTCTAACTACACTAACTCTAACTAACTTCTAACTAATTCTGTAACAATCATATCACACAGATATTATAATAGATATGGAATGATTGCACTAGACTCAGTTTGAAGCTTCTCACACATGGATGTGGATGATGGAGTCTGAGCTAAGACATCTCTGAATGGAACCATAGTCCCTTTAAACTGCTGCTGCTGAGTCTTGGTCTGTTTGAGCTGCTGCTGAGCTATACTTTCATCACCCCCCTGCAAGCTCATAGGGAAAGTGTAAATCAAAACACAAAACATGCAGCGGAATAAAATCATCAGATCATACCTTTTGATGATAGAACCTCGTGGATAAATCACGTGCTTCCAGAATCAGATCAATCAATCCCAGTAGTGGGGTGATATTACAATGGTGAATATCACCCACACAAACCACAGTGCAACTGACTTGATCGTTGTTTCTTGGGAGAGAGTCAGTATATGGGTAGAAAACAGACTCAACGTTGTTTCTCTTGGATTACCCATAACCATATAACAAATATTTAATATATTATAATATCTATCCATATCAGTTAAGATACAGATAATATCTAATATATATTATATCTATCTATATCAGTTCAAACTGATAACGTCTGTTTCAAGAGTGGTTATCCTAAATAGGTTTGATTTCAAAATCAAAACCTATTTGGATAAGGATTCAAAATCAAATTTAATGGTCATGCCACATGGGCGCCCATTACTAACAGAAAGAAAGCACCATGAGCTTGTCATGAAGAAAGTGGAACTGAGAAACTGGTAAAGTCTTTGTAAAAAGATCAGCAAGCTGATCAGAGGAGGCAACATGCTTGACAAAGATTTGTTTGGAGGCAACTCTTTCTTAGATATAATGATAATCAACAGCAATGTGTTTAGACCGAGAATGAAACACAGGGTTGGAGCTCAAGGAAATTGCAGACAAGTTATCACACCAAATGATTAGACAAGGATAAGCAATGTGTAAATCAGTGAGAACCATTTGAAGCCAACTCAACTCAGCTGTAGCTTGGGCTAGAGCTCAATATTTAGCTTCGGTGGAAGAACGATAGACTGTAGGTTGCTTCTTGGCAGACCAAGAGATAAGATTAGGACCTAAAAAGACACAGTAGCCAATGGTAGATTGACGATCACTTACACTCCCAGCCCAATCTGAATCAGAGAAGGCATGAAGCTCAAGAGGACCAGGAGTAAATGACAGGCCTTGATGAATGGTGCCTTTGAGATATCGCAACAAGTGTTTGACAGAAGCAAAGTTAGCTTCAGAAAGAGAATGCATAGTTTGGCAAGCATGATTAACAGCAAAGGAGATATCTGGTCGAGTAATGGTCAAATACTAGAGAGCACCAACAATGCTGCGATAGAGGAAAGGATTGGAATAAGCCATAGTAGGAGAAGATAATGAAGAGGGCTTGACTGACATGAGAGAAGGAGCTAGCTTGCAATCAGACATCCCAGCTTTAGCAAGAATTTTCAAGGCATACTTAGTTTGAGAATGAAAATAGCCAGAGTCAGAGGAAGTAACAGAGACACCCAAGAAATAATTGATGAGACCCAATTCTTTCATAGAAAATGTAGTGTGCATGTAAGTAATAAGAGAAGCAATATGGACTGAATCATTGCCAGTAACCAAGATATCATTAACATATACTGGTAACACAGTCATGGTAATAACAGTGTGTTGACTAAATAGAAAGGAATCTGATGGACTAACAACAAACCCATTGGTAAGAAGATAGTTAGAAAAGGTAGAATACCAAGCACGAGGTGCTTGTTTAAGGCCATACAATGCTTTAGTCAATTTGCATACAAACTGAGGCTTAGAATTGTCAACAAAACCTTGAGGTTGAGTCATATAAACTCCTTCATCCAAGATACCATGCAAGAATGCATTTGAGATGTCAAGTTGTTTAGTCGGCCAACAGAAATGAAGTGCCAAACAAAGCAAAATTCCAATAGTTGGTTGTTTAGCAATCGGACTGAATGTCTCATGATAGTCCAAACCTTCTTCTTGGAGATATCCTTTGGCCACAAGATGAGCTTTTATGACGAGCAATTGTGCCATCAGAATTGCGTTTGAGACGAAAAACCCACTTACATCCAATAGCCTGTTTGGTGGGAGGCAAAGGAACCAAAGTCCAGGTGGACTGTTGTTGAAGAGCAGCAAACTCTTCATTCATAGCCTTGGTCCAAGCAGAAGACAGATCAGCCTCTTTATATGAACAAGGCTCATAATTAGTAGAAGTAATGGTAGACAAAGTAAGATGAGCTGCCTTAGATCGAGTAACCATAGGATGAAGATTAAAAGATGGAACGGTAGGAGGAGGAATAGAAGAAGAGGGAAGAGAATAGTGTTGAAGATCAACAACCAAAGAATCAATGGGAATAACAGGTGAAGAAGAAGGAAATGAAGAAGAAGAAGCAGAAGGAGAAAGTGCTGGAGAAGATGGAGAATTAAGAAAAGCAGCTGATGAAAATGATGGAGAATGAGTAGTAACAGCTGGTGTGGAATGAGAACAAGATGGCCAAAAAAAAGACTGATAATGAGATAGTGAATGGTGAAGGAGAAGGAGATTGCACAAATGAGGCAGCCAAATGGAAAGTTTGCTTATTAAAAACAACATGCCTAAAAACATAAATGCGACCAATGCTTGAGTTAAGACACCTGTAACCTTTGACTGAAGGTATGTAGCCAAGCAACACACAAGCAATAGAGCGGGACTGAAGCTTGTGATGAACATATGACTTGAGCTAAGGAAAGTAAAGACAACCAAATGGTTTGAGAAAATAATAGTCAGGTAATTGGTGAAACAAAATTTCAAAACGGGACTGGTTTTGGAGCTTGGACCTAGGCATATGAGTAATAAGGTAAACAGAAGTGGCTACAATGTCAAACCAATAGGCAAGAGGTACACAAGATTGTTGAAGCAAAGCAATAGTAGTGTCTATGATGTGTCTTTGTTTTCTTTCAGCAACACCATTTTGTGGTGGTATATAGGGACAAGACAACTGATGATCAATACCATGTGTGCGAAGAAAATCCTGAAACTTCAGCCCTAGATATTCAGTGCCATTATAGTGCGAAGAATTTTCAATTTAACAGTAAACTAATTTTCAACAAAGGCTTTGAATTTTGCAAAAACTTCACTTTTAAAATGTAAAGGATAGAGCCATGTAAACTTGCTGAAATCATCAACAAACAAAACATAATATTTAATGGAAGAAGAAGAGTGAAATGGTCCCCATCTATCACTATGAATAAGGGCCAACGATTTATTAACAGAAGTAGTTGACAAACTAAAGGGCAATCGATGGCTTTTGGCATACAACAATGCTTACAAGGAAATGAAGAACTAGAAATAGTTTTAGGTAGTTTCAGTTTATTACAAATCAGTTGCATCTTATGCAAAGAATGATGGCCTAAGCTAGCATGCCAAGTAGAAGAAGCAGTAGTGGTGTTGAGGCAGACTTGATGAGAGGAAGATCTAGGAAGAACAGCTGGAAGATGATAGAGGCCATGAGAAGTAGTACCTCTATAGAGAATAGCTTTATTACTCTTGTCCTGAATCACAAAACCAGAAGAATCAAAAGTAATAGAACAATGATTATCAGACACAAATTGGTGCACAAAAATGAGATTTGTAGAGATTTTAGGAACATGAAGAAGATGTGTAAGAGTGAAATTATGAGACAGAGTTGGTAAAATACCATTTCCTTTATACTGAATAGGTATGCATTACCATCTCCAACCATGACTTGATCTGAACCTTGATATGGCTGATAGGACTGTAAGTTTTGCAGATCATGTGTGACATGACTAGTGGCTGCTGAATCTAAAAACCAATTGTCTGATGAAGAAGATGCAGAAGCAATGTAGGCCTTATTCTGAAAATTAGATGAATTAGGAGAGGTCTTAGGGTTTGCAGACTGATAGGAAGTATCCATTCGATACCAGCAGTTGAAAGCATTATGATTGTTTTTGCCACAAATTTGACAAATCACAGAGGAGTTGTTATTGGAAGTGTGATAACCAAATCGATCTCTTCTTCCTCTTTGGAAATATCTACCACCATATTTGTTACCTCTGCTAAAGTGAGACTGACTAGAGGAAGAATTGCGAAATCTAGAAGACTGAGAAAAATGTTTCTGAGGATAACCTTGATGTACAGCTGTGGAATAAGCCACATACATATCAGAAGAATATTTAGAAACTGATTCTACATGAATTTCCTCTGAACAGAGCAGAGATGATAGATTTTCCATAGATATGGACTCAGGTCTTGCTCGAATTGTCGTTTTAAAAGCATTGTATTCAACAGGAAGGCCATTCAATGTGAGAAGGACAAGATCTTCGTCTTCAACTGGTAAAGCAGCCATAGCCAACTGATCAGATAGAGTTTTAATTTGAGAAAGATATTCTTCCATTGAACAAGATGTTTTCACAACATTATGAAGCTTGTTCTTGAGTTGATGAATATGAGACCTTGAGAGAGAAGTAAATCGTTTCTCAAGTGTGCTCCAGACTTCATGACGATGAAAAACTATGGTAAAGACTGCTGAGGACAACGTGGTTGTAATACAACTCAGGAGATGCGAGTCAATGAGCATCCATTGAGCATATTCAACATTTGGTACCTCTCTGATGCATTGAGAATGAGGAGTAATAGGACCATCAACATAACAGAGCAAACCAGTAGCTTGAAGAATGTTATGGAATTGATTCTTCCAAACAATGAAGTTTGAAGAATCAAGTTTAACGGTAACAAAAGAATTTAGATTGGAGATAAGAAGTGAAAGATTTGAAGGAATCTAAGGAGAAGAAGGCAAGGTCGTCATTGATGGATCCTCAAGCTCGGGAGAGCATTATCAAGGCTCTGATACCATAAAGAAGATTTGAAATCTCTCTTATCTTATTCTTTTGCAGATCAATATGTACTATATATTTACAACAACCTAACCTCTGAAACTTAAGACTAACTATGATGAGTTAACACTAACTCTAACTTCACTAACTCTAACTAACTCCTAACTAATTCTGTTACAATCATATCAGACAGATATTATAATGGATATGGAATGATTGCACTAGACCCAGCTTGAAGCTTCTCACATGTGGATGTGGATGATGGAGTCTGAGCTAAGACATCTCTAAATGGAACCATAGTCCCTTTGAACTGCTACTGCTGACTCAAAGCTTGCCAAGTGTCTTTCTATTTATTTTGTTTTACTTGGTTTTCTTTTAAGTTTGTTTAATAAATGTGTTCATTTATGATCTTTCTCTTTTATTTATATGTGCTTATTCATTTGGTGAAATATAAATATATGAGAATGTACGTAGCAGATAAAAGAATTTCATTACTAAAGTAATTATCGCCTTCTCTTTACTATTTTTATTTTATTTATAATTTTGATCTTTACATATAAAATACACCATTCATTTGGTCTTCTCTCTCTCTTTTTTTTTTCTTTTTTCCTATGCACAGATATTATAGGTTCTTGATTATTATTTCACTGCTTTATTCATTTTTAATAATTTTTTCTATTATTCAAGTCAATAAAGCTAAGGTCACTTCCGTGTCTATTTTGTAAGTTGGGTATACTTCCTTAATTGGAGTGTGGGACCCAATTGATTTGTGAAAGAATTTTAATTTGACTTGGTTTAGGTATAATATATTTTTATATATTATATTTGAGTAGACCCAATTCAATTTGGAAACAATTAGAGTTTGATTACAAAACCCTAGATTCACAATATATATATATATATTGTTAATGTTTGCCCCAAAAAAGTAGGGTTGGTTTTCCAAGCAAGGACGGCGGCTACAAAATTGTTCACCTTTTCCGAAGGACATTGTGCGGCTGTTTGAGATTTAAAAAGCAATTCAGTGAATCAAAAAAGGCTTGGGTCAGTTTGCTTCAATTCGGCTGCTTTGACGGAGTTTTTTGAGTTTGTTATTTTGGGTCTTCTTCAACTCTGGTTCAGAAGATTTTGGTTCATCTATTTGGTGAGGTCTTTCCTCTTTGTTTATTTATGATTATTTGGAATTCACCTAAGGGTGTTTTTATTTTTATTTTATTTATAATTTTGATCTTTACATATAAAATACACCATTCATTTGGTCTTCTCTCTCTCTTTTTTTTTTCTTTTTTCCTATGCACAGATATTATAGGTTCTTGATTATTATTTCACTGCTTTATTCATTTTTAATAATTTTTTCTATTATTCAAGTCAATAAAGCTAAGGTCACTTCTCGATTTTCCCTAACAGTTGTTAATGGTATTTTTCTTATATTTTATAGAGTACTCATTATATATACACACAATCAAAATTTAATATTTTTATAAAAATTTATAGTGTATTTTTGGGTATTTTTGTACATTTTATGAGGCAATTGTAACTTAAAATTTTTAAATAAGAGTTCTTAAAAAAAAAAAAAGGGACATTAAAAAAAAAGGATCCTTTTGGTATCATTTCAAAAATTATTTTCTATCATTGAAGACACAAAAAAATATATAATCAATGCCTAAAATGCATTTGTGGAACTATTTTAACAAAATCTTTTGTTAAAAATTTTAAACTATGTTCAGAGTTCTAAAAAAAGGATTGAATTAAAAAATGAAATTAGTACAAAACATTTTAATAAGTTGTGTTTTTATCATTGTAAT